TTCTGTCTTCTGATAGGTATTTAACAAAAATGGTCTCGGTGTCTTTTCAATAATAACCGTGACAAGAGAAGTATCAGTTTCTAAAAATTAGTTTCACTACCTAACTACTTCGTGTACCAGTACCATCTATTTCAGAGCCGTATTTTTAGGGGGGAGCTACAGGGTACTGTTGCCCCGGGGCGGCTGAGTAGGAGAGGGGGGGCTATTTTTTTTATAATTTAAATTTTTATTTTGTATAATGATTAATGAGGCGTATTTTTTTGTTGCCCCTTGGTGTCAAATTCCTAAATACGGCCCTGATCTATTTACTACATTATATATTGCTAAGTTTCTAAAGGTAGGTGGTACCTAATAAAAGGTATAAAAAACTTTTTAAATTTATGTTTATGTTTCTATTCGAAATGCATTGGAATAATCGTACAGGGTATTCAGTAATATAGCCATATAGGGAAACTAATTTTAGGTACCTGACATTAAAGGTTTATTCTTAAATATTACTTATAGATGAGGGCCGATACCTATATAAGTGTAGGATCGTTGTACACTAGATTCTCGCCATCTAATCGTTATTAAACCACGTGCCCTTGTTTTCATCTCGGCAAAACTTAGATCTAAGTGATCAAGTGGCAAAAGACGGTGTAGAGTACCTACGGTTATCTACTCAGATTAGGAATCGGCATATAAACCTACTTCTCTAACGATTTAAGATCARCTACGGTATAGTTAATTGTTTTTCATAGTATACCCATAGATAATAAATTTATGAATAGGGCATAAAAGTCTTATAAGCTGTTATTAAGGGGTACGATTGAGGCCAAATAAGTATATCCAAATCGAATGTCGACTATCAATAAAAACGCATTGATGCAAGAGCCTCGATTGCATTCCCCTCCGGGAACACGGCCTCAGATATATTTAACGTAAATATTAATTATTCGATCGGTGCCCGAGGGAGACTCCTCTCCTAGCAATGACACTGCTTATCACGATATCACGACTCTATTGCACGGACAACACACACTATGACAATGGTGCGCAACCTGGGGGTCGCAAAATTTTATAAGGGGGTCGCCAAAAATTTTACACCAAATGAAAAAGTAAATTTATATGTTACACTTACATAATTTTGGTAGGAAGGGGGGTCGTATTATCAAAATAAATCATTTTGGGGGGTCGTGGATCAAAAAAAATTGCGCACCACTGCACTATGGTATACCAGTTAAACACGGCGTTTTGAATAGGCATTTTACTAGCTATATAATCACAATCTTGGATCATCTATTTTTCCACTATTATCGCGACATTGCGTAATACCTACTACCTATGATTCATTTCAATTACAAAACTAACAAACCTTGTTATAGAGTGGCTATTTGGGCGTCCCACATTTTATTGAAACTCAATTTTATTMAATTTTATCTATTATATAATAATGATACTGGTAATTAATAAAAAACATTTTAATCCTCGCAAAACATCTCGATACACCTACCTTTTTACAGAGCCAAATTTCCAAACTATCGTAATTTTCAATGTGTTAAAAAAAATACATATATATGTCTATTATGAAATTATTACAATAATTGTATCTTATATGATATAAACGCGTACCTATCTACCTAGGTACCTGATCCCTTTAAAGTATAAATGGATAAAATAACATATTTTTATTAATTAAAAGAATTCGGATATAATATGATTTATTGTGGAATTTAAATTATTATAGTAATTAGTTATTAGTTATTACTGATTAAACGTACCTAGTCTATGACGGATGACGAGCCTACTTTATTKAATATTATTATCAATTGAAATTAATTACATTATTTTAAAATGAATTTCAATAYATAAAATATATAATTTGTATATGGTATTATATTAACTACGAGTATAAAGCCTACATGACTAACAATTTTCAATTCTGTGGTCTTATTAGTATTTAGACATAGACCGTCTATGTCTAAATACTTAACACGCAATCGGAATTCGAATATTCCTTTAATTCGCGATCCAGTCCCTATTGTATGAATATTTAAATACATAATAAGTGTAAATTGGAAGATAATGGAGATTGTACCTTTATTGTAGTGTTCGGATAAAAAATAAAAACAATTTGGATACTTTATTCTACATTTTCATTTGGAAAAATCTGGGCCCAGTTTACTGATCAAATCAATYATTACTTACCATAAAATGGTTCTTATTATATAATTATAGTACATAGGTAGGTATATCATTTTTGCATTATACTTAGCCACRGATATAATTTTAACACTTATACCTATATAGTACTCCCTAAATTTCTTCWAAGTTGTGCGTAGGTATGTGGTATCCATTTTCATCTACAGGGACATTTTTCTGGAAGGCTAAAATTGTATCAATAGCACGTCAACACAGACCCTGATGATTGATATCTTAAACTAAAAAATTATTTTAAAAAACTCCCCATTCTCCRTCAATTACACCTTGGTGAATTTTATTATTTTTCTGGAGAACTATTAATAAATACTTTATTCGATCAATAGTATGATGGTTAGGTTAGACTGTAGATAGACAGGGTAGGTAGTAGGTATGTACCAACTCTATATGCACTCTCTGCGTACATATAAAATAGATAAACTGTAATTATTTATCAGAAGTCAAGTTATACTGAGGAATAACAACTTTATTATACACTTTTAATTCCAATATAATTTAAGCATTAAAAATTTGTATTATTTATTATTATACTTACTCAATAGTCACTACAACGCACAAATAACTTAGTAACATAATACAGAAATAAAATATATTTTTATTAATGTTATAAATTTTAATATAAAATACGAATAATTATATTTCAAAATGTTCCTACAGTAGTYAATAAGACGTATTYCCATGCATTTAACATGATCATCGCGTTATTAAAAATTATAATACATTGCAAGCGATAAATACTAGTAATGTATCTAAATAAAACGCAGAGCATAATAAACATTAGAAATCTATGTCGAACGTATTACATTTATGTATTTACACGAATTTCAGTCATGGATAGGCAACTCAGGTCTGTAGGAAAATTAATACTTACCAATTGCATTTATGCGTATGTACCTAATCATAACATAGTATGTTAGCTTCAGTGGCGTACACTGGGGGTGTATTTTGGGTGAAATGCCCCTGGGATTTTTTTCTACTATGTATATAAAACCGTGAAAATGTTTTTGAATAAATATTATACAATATACTTTTATTTTAATTATTAGAGGGAAAGGTTATACCTAAAACCCCTTCAAATAAAATATTTCCGTGTACGCACCACATGGCTTTATCGAACGATTGACAAACATACCAGGAAAATACGAGAAAAAAAGGTAGTAGTATCTTGGATGAAATAAATAATCATTAAATAACAACAACTGTACTTACTATATTTCTATTTTTTTTAAGTAAAAATGACAATAGAAACATTAAGGCTCAAGGACATATTGGGTAAACACGTTTCTAACATATTCACGTGTTTAAATCATTGATTTCGCACCACTGAACTCAGTCCGTATATTTTGTCCGAATTATARCTCGGAAAAAATTAATAACATAGGCAGTGCACTCTAGTGGCACACGAACAGAAACGATAATATTGACGTTTCAGTTCGTAGTCCGCAGACACACCCAGAAWTTTTTTTACAAATTCCTTTGGAAAAGGGCACTAGGGCATTAGCCATCAATTATTAATATTATCGCCAAATAAACTAATTTACATTTTTTTTTTTGAATTTTAACACATTTGTTTACATTTAAAGAAACTATTTACCCAGAATGTCTTAATACTTATTGAAATTACAATTTGTACGATTATTTTGAGCCGCTAAAGCCAACTATTTTATTTATTTTAATAGTGAATTTGCTATAGTGGTAGAATTATTAATGAATATTATATATATTTTTCAAAAAAAAAAAATCATATTTTGTTAATATATATTATACTATATAATAATAATAATAATAATATTTAACATTATCTTAAAATTACAGAGAAAAAATTTGTCATACATGAGAATTGTTGGTTCTGAAAATTAAAGCCGTTGGCAGTGTTTAATTTTTGATCAGAAACGAGTTTGTACATACAAGATAGAAATTAAAGAAGGTGTAATTTAAATTTATTTGACAAGAACCCCCTCCAAAGATACTTTTGAAATTGAATTCTACCACGTAATAAGTTGTTTGAATAGTATAATTAATAAAAAAGCAATTATTAAACACGGTCATTAGTGAAATATTCCTAAAATACAAGAAAGTGTGGACGGGTGGAGAAATAATAACTTGTAATAACTATGAAATTAATGATTTAATGCTAACAATAATTTTTTTAATTTTAACAAATTCTACAAATATAACACTGAATAAATAATAAAAAGGTCTTACRAGTAACAAATAAGATGGTTCACACCAATATATAGGAAATAAAATATTAACGTTTCATATCTCTTTTCTGGTGTCAAAAAATTGATTGTAATGTCACTACGTTAATAGGCTTAAATTAGTTATGTTTTGAAGAGTTTTTTTAAATTTCATTACAACAATTTAACAACAAGCAGTGACATTATATATATATTACATAATAATAAACATAATTTTATACGATCATATACGATTTAAACTTAATTTATGCTTATTGCTAAAAATAAATTTCCAACTGGGCAACTTTCAAATTTGATAAGCACCCTTAATATACTAGTTATAAATAAAATAAACCACTTATAAGTAGAATAATAATAAATATATATTGCTGGGGACAGAGGAAGTAATTATTATTAAATTAGACGAAAAAGTGAAATTGTTAGAAATAAAATCAGCGTGTAATACTCTATCATAACACTAACCTACGAATAAGTAACTCACATTAATTTTTTTTTTAACAACACTTTTATTATAAGCTACCTATAAAATAAATCTATGACCAGAATTAAAGTAGTTTACTTTTAGTTAAACGATAGGATAAATTTAATATTATTACGAACTGAAGGAATAAACATTTATTGAGCATTAAATGCAATATTTTCAGGCTTTTTAAAGCACAGTAAACTTAAGATTTGGATAAGTTAGGCATGACATCATTGAAATTTTAACAAATCATTGAGGTTAACAGGCAGGGAGGGGGCGATTACTGTTTTTTATTAAAAAATAAAAACACACATCAACTTTGGTAAAAAAAATAATAATAAAAAATAAAATAAAATAATATTAATAATAATAACACAACAAAATACGGAGAACAAATTATTTGCACAATGAGCCTAAAATTGGTTTATATAATACAGCTAGTATACCATTATTGAACTTGAATTACTCCCATTTGCGTGAGGGAAAACATTCGATTTCATTTTTTATGGATTAAAAAATACAATAAGCAGTAAGTATAACACTGTTTCAGCTGGACCAAAACAACAAATAGCTGTTTTCATTTAGTTATTTGTTAACAACTATGATCAATTTTTTACTAAAAACATAAATAAAAATTGGTCTGGCAAACCTAATGCATCTGTATCTAAAACTTTTATTCCTTACTTATGACCTTTGTTTAAAATGTGTTATTATTCATTTAACTGTCAAATTATTTCCGGTGTCGTACATCACCACCACTGTGGTCGTTAGCATTGTTTCTGAAATGAGTAATAATAATAAAAAAAAATGAATACAATATTACAATGTCTAACAAAAAAGTACAAGTATTAAAGATAAAAAATATTACGTCAAGGTATAACATTATGTCATGAAATGTATACCTAATCAGAATTTGGTACAATAAAAACCTAATATATTAATCTTTACAAAACACAAATATTCTTGTAAATACAATCCAAACTGTTATGTCATATTATAAGAGGGATTAAAAAATAAAAAAWTACAATATTTACCACTATTCAAACAGTAAAAGCTACATTTAAGACCAATTAGTTTCAATATGAGAAAGAAAAAACCTAGTTTTTTTTACAYATATCCCGATAGTTATATAAATAAAGCTCATCTTACTTACGTCTCTGGCCCTTGATCGGTGTCACTTTCTTCAAATTCGGCCTTGTTACGTTTCTTCTCATATATAAATATAACCAAACACAGAAGGATCACTTCAACACAAATACCCAAGAACGGCCATAATGCAGCCATTTTGTCTATCACATAATAAAAATAAGTCAATTAAATAAAACAAAGCATGAACTTCATATGTCTTTAATTATTACCTTTAATGCGCACGTAGGAAGGAGCAGAGTGCACAGGTTCAAAGACAACACTATTCTTTCCACTGCAGATGAAGTTTCCTCTATTTTGCATTGTGATCGGATCCAAAACTAAGATGGCATTGGAAATATTCTTTTTGTTAGGTAAAAATTTAATATGTTCAGAAGCCACAAGAGTGGTATTTTCTAAAGCAAAAATATATTGTAAGTTTATTTAAAATTGTAAGTATAAAAAATTACAATTTAGCCTATACTTACCAAATTTCCAACTAACATCTGGTGTAGGTACACCATATACAATGCATTCCAATTCCATTTTTTCACCCTCAATAAATGTAGCTGTTTTTGGCAGTTTCATATAAGGCTTTACTATATCATAAAAAAAAAAACATCTTAAGCATTTTTATTTTTATTTTTACACAATAACAACATTTATAAACATAGGTACACTAAACCAATTTTAATTTTTAAGTTAATTTAACATTAAATTTCAAAGAACATACTGAAAATAAAATTATTAAAGTCTGGTAATATCATATTATCATTAAGTAAAATATAAAAATGATATCCATTTAAAAATATTGAAAACAAAAATAGATGAATATTATGTCAATAAAAACCAGTATAAGAAGGCAAAAGTAAAAGTGGTTATATGGRCGAGTAATGTGAATAATACGTTGTACAATACAACAGACCATGACAAGAATGTACATAAAATAATTAAACACAAAGAATACACTTTTACAGAAGATCAAATCTTTATAAATCAAAATCTTACGAAGGGCAAAAAGTTTTGGTTTTAACTTAAMATGAGATTACTAGTTGTTAATTTATAAAACATCATGCATAACTAACAATATTTTACTACTTTAACAAGTTTGGTTTGACATACTTACATAAGTTATTTATTTAATACTTTCTATAAAAATTAGATTTATAAGAAAATAGAAAAAATATTTGACTTAATATAATATAACATAATATACTAACAGACAACRTTGAACACCTTCTTGTCGATTAGATTATTGGAACTGAATAAGCTGCATGTATACTGACCAGCATCGTTTTCAACAAAACGATTAACTACCAGAGTGTTTTCAGACACATCAACATGGTGTGGGTCTTCAGAATCAGTTGTTATTTGATTGTCACCTTTAAACCTAAAAATTAATAATTAGTAGCTATTTATTCATGATTAAATATTAGATAACTGAAATGTATATACTGACCACTTCCATATGTACTTTGGATCTTGAGAGCCATCAATATTACAATTAAGTGTTAGTTTGCTTTTATATTCACCTATTTTATATTTATCGCCATAGTCATAGTTTGCTTTTATAGTAACTTGAGCTAAAACAAAATTATAAACAAAAAAAATGAATACATAGGTACTAAAAGTTTTGGTAATTGTTTTTTAAGGATATTTTAGACATTAAATGAATATCTAATGTATAGGTGATTAATATTGGATTTTACACAACATAATATACAAATTACATATTATATGCATTAGTAAAAACAAATCATATCATGAATTTCTGAAAGGTTTAATGTTTAATATAAATATATGTATATTTTATTTCAAATTCAAAATCTATATAACAAATAATGCAAACAATAAAAACCGACAACAGTAATGGGTTAATACCTAACACAATGATAAATCTAATCTATATGAGATGTCGCAGTATACTGGAAAGTGTGTCTAGTCGTAATAGTTAATTCATATGCGAGCCAAAAATGAAGCGAGGCGAACCGGTCCGGGCACATGGACATTTATTTTAAAAGCTCATCATAGCCGGCACGTACCGGTAACCACATATAGTACATGAAACTTGTTGTACTGTGTTGTGCATCGATAGGCACCCGAATGCATAGAGGATGCAGAATTGGCCGTTATCGTGGATACAAACATATTGTCATTAGTTACTGCTTCGCTGATATTGAAGTGTTCACCAGTAACCAGGGTGTGACCATCTTTTTGCCATTTTATGACTTGGAACATTGACACACGACATGTTATCATAAATGGGTCTCCATCTCTTACTGTTGTATTACCCTCGTAACTGGGCTCATCAGCTAAGTAGTCCAATTTCGTTTCCGAAACAAACAAACATATTTTTCATACCCCATARCCACGAAAAATTTAAATAAATAAGTAAACAAATAAACAAATTAACAAAAACTTAATAAACAAGAGTTATAGTTGTGCTTAATAGAATAGCTTAAAATCATTATAACTAGGTACCTTCATTTACGTAGTTAARTAATTTAAGCATATCTACACCTAATAGAACATAAAGAATCCCTATAATATTCCTAAGCATCACATYAACTACTAATAAATACTTTTTTAATTTAGTTTATACGTGTAATAAAACTATAAGTAGGTGAAATACCTTTAAGTCAACTCTCTTTGATTATGAATTGCATACATAGTTTAAAACAGGGATGGCAAATCCATAGCATGCCAAAAGATTAAAATATTTTTACTACATTATAAAACATATTATTTTTCATAGCATGCTCAAAAATAAGGGTAATTTTTGGCACGTAGCGTTCAAATAATTTGCCTCTCCTAAGTTAAAACATAATTAATTTACTATAAAAATGTACCAATATGTATAAATTGTAAAGTTTTTTACCCAAAACACCTATCATAAATTAATTAAATAATACATTTAAAAGCCAGATAGTTAAAATTACCTATTCGAATTTATCACATATTAATGCATATCTTTAATTGGATACTTTAAACAGGCAAGTAAAAAGATTCATACTTAGTGTTCTGAAGATAATCTTCTGAAGATAATATTAAAACAGAATAAATTTACCGTGTGATATAAATACAAATAAATTGGTTATGATTAGGTGCCTAACAACTTACCAGCTATTAACAGAAATGTAATTTTAACTTGTAATGTTTAATATGTATACCTACCAAATAATAATATTTAACTGGACATTAAGCTCAAGTAGTCTAGTCGTAACACAACACCCATCAGCATCCTAGGCATTCGTCATTGTAGATGAAGGAATCTTTGCACTTGTAGTTAATATCTAGTACCTATATTATTGTATACATACATAGATATATTTCTTTCTTTTAAATAAGGTAATATCTGAAACCATTTTAATTTGTAGCGTTTTTATTAAATTAATATACTTGAAGTCAGTGTAAAGAGATTGCTATGAAACGTTTAATAGGTGAGAAATCGTTTGATGTTAAAATTATAACTATAGATCTATTAGACCTACACATCAAACGTTTGAAGCGAAGCTGTCAAAAGCTTGGACGGGATTATGCACAGAATATCATGACATAGGTAGCGACACAATCTATTAAGAACCAGACGCATAGGGAGTCTTGTGCATCGATGGAAGTCAAYGATATTAAAATCAAGAAACAATTAAGTCATAGGCAGGAGGCCCCGTGGCAGCATTACGACTAGACGACTGAAAAAGTTACAAGTTACGAAACCTGGGTTTTGGTTGACGGGCTTATTGGTGCTAGTCATACAGCACACCRGCGAAACGAAACGCACCGAACGTTTTTTGATCATTTGTTTATTTGTTTATTTTTGAACGACGCGGGTAAACCGGGTAACGCCCTAACCCTAAGCACGATAACCAGCAAAACAACGTAAAAGAACAAAGCAACGTACCCAAGACCCTGGAGGGCCCGAAATCCAACAGGGCGAAAAATACGACGCTGTACACAACGACGCTGAGCGAATTCCAGCACATGATTCCGGATAAGTTTTCCCGGGCACGRATCGGCCGAATTTCTCAGCAAATCACTCTAAAACGATCGCACTGGCCGTCTAGTCGTCGCAGCCACCGCCGCCGTCGCGCTCTTGGTCGTCGTCGCCGTCGCCGTCGCCGTTGCCGCCACCACCGCCGCCGCCGCCGTCTTGATCACCGTAGCCGCAGCCGTGATCGACGATGTGAAGGTCTTCGTCACCGTCACCGTCGCCGAACGTCAGAGACCCGACAAAATTATAATGAAAAAAATCGCGACACCCACACGGCCACACGAGTCAAGTACAATACCTATGTTGTACGTAGAAAAAAAAAAATAAAAATTAATTTTCACTCAAGTCACGCACGACTCGCGACGACTGGTGTGTCGGTGTCGGTGTCGGTGTGTGTCTGTGTGTGTGTGTGTGTGTTCGGTGCGCGTGTATGCGTATGAAAAACCGTACGGACTACGGACGCCCGCGCGCGCGGAATTAAAAAGGCGATATTATTCGGCGGACCGTGTGTGAGTGAATGTGTGTTGGTGAGAGACAGTGTGTGAGTGTACGTGTGTGGGACAGTGTGTGTATGGAACGTACGACTGCCCGTACAGTGTGTACAGCGGCGAGTGGAACGTATGCGTGTGTGACTGAGTGAGTGAACGAATTTGGGAGTGAGTGAGTGAGCTCGCGTACGTGTGCGTGTGTGTGTGTGTCTGTTTTACGGTGTTCAGTCGTCGTCGGAGAGAGGTAAAACAGGCTAAAAATTTCCTTGTGCCCCGCGGAACAGGGCCGACAGAAAATAACTCGAAGGGAGAGAAGAGACTACGCACACGCACAGATGCGGCGACTGAGAGAGAGCGACTACGGGGCCGCCGTCATTGACGCGTCGTTGGTGCGACCGAGACGGCCAACCTCACCGCGGCGGCGCCCTGTCGTATTGATTCGCCGCCGCTCCACGCCCCGCCCTGCGCCGCGACAGCCGCGTAACCGTCGCGTAGCCACTATAGCCGCCGCCGCCGCCGCCGCCGTCATCGGGCGCTCGACAGTGGTACCGCGGTCGTCGGATCTAAATTATTCGCACGTGAAACGAAGGAAAACACCGCAACCGCCCCCGGTACCGTCGTTACGGTCTCGCGCCGAAAGTTCCTACATGGTTTTTCCGACCGGCGAGCACTCCTCTCCATCGCTGTTGTCGCCGACCTCGAAATTTAACCGGAGAACCGCTCCCCCCCACCATGTGCGTGTGTTCGCGAACCACCACCCGGGCACTGCCACCGCCCGCTCCGCCGAGCAATCGAGCCCGCTCGCCGAGCGCCGCGGCCGGGCCGGGATGACCGACCGGTACACCGTACACGTCAGCCAAACCGTAGGTCGTGTCCCTTTTGTTGGGACGGCGGGTGGAAGGGAGTGAGCGCTTGCGCGATCGGAAAGCTCTTTTGCGCTTGCTCTCTCTCTGTTTCGTCTACGATTATCCCCATAACCGTATTTCTCTCTCATTATCGTTACTTTTCCTCCGCTCATTCATCCCCGTCGCCGACTCGCCCCTTCCGCCCTAAGTAGGTCTGTTTTCTTTCCGCTCCTCCCTCATCGCCGTATTCAAGTCCCTGGCCACCCGTACATTATACCTCCGTTGGTTTAATAATATTATAATAATAATAATTAATTATAACGTCATGTGTGTGTAGGTATTATATGTGCGACATTGACAACGGTAATAAATAATAGTAATAATAATGATACTAGAATCATGTACTTAGGGGTGGCGGATGAGTGACGGGTAGGAACGCGGATCGGGACGGATCGCACGACGTGACGTGTATACGTCATATCCGTCCTGATTAAACCATGTTCAGTGGTGGGAAGGGGTTGGAAATTTATCGAAAGTCACAGCGCAGCGGCAATGGTGTTCCGATAACGCACCCATTCCCCCGTGTATACGCTCTGCAGCGTAATCGGCCGTCGGCGGCACGCACGTACGCACACATATCACATATGGGTCAAAGTGTGTGTACATACGAACGTTGTCGTCGGACGATCGACATGCTGTCTGCCACCGTCGCCGCCGTTCGCTCATATATATATATACATAACACCGATGGAATTTTTTTTTATATAGACGTTTTAACTTATAACGAGAATAGTTTTATTAATCTCATTAATGATGGCCAACTGGCTCGTGAGATTTCCGCTTCCATTTCAAAACAATTCTCGTAAACGCGTTTGGGTTTGACACAGAAACTTTGTCCGTCAATCGAATGAACGTGACACATCAACACATCGTCATAATACTTAGATACTGCATTAACCGTTGCGCGTCGCTACGATTTCTCCGATATCGGTTTAATATTCCGTTCCATATCGATCGCTCTCTATTTCTGCGCGTGAACACAATAATAATATGATTTGATATTATGTAATCTTTGTACCTACAACTGTCGTGAAGACAGAACAATCTAGATTTCGGCGTTGCGTATAGGCGACAGGTCGGTCGGTGTGTGAATACTGRTACACATATTAACCTTTATACTATAATAATTTATATTGTTAATGTCGGGTTTACCGCTCCATTACAGAACTGAGCCAAAATTTCTATTAATATTATTGCATCAATATTTACGAGTAAAAAAAATTATACGTTCAACAATCGAGAGGGGTGCACTGTTACTAGTAACTACTGCTGGAGGGTTAAATATATTGKCAAGGGTAACTCTCGACAATTCAAGTGGGTAAAAACCACCCTAGAGATATACAAAAAATATATATTTATATAATATTATATACTTAACTATAGGTACTTAAGATATAGAGCTTAGGGAAATACAGGGAGTATAGGGACTAAGGAGTTCAGAGGGCGTCATACACTCATACACCCGTTTTTGAGAGGTTTTAATGTTTTAAATAGKCAGTTTCATTGGTTTTTTATAAGAAAAATGAAGATATTGTAATTAATAATATTATGTAATTAAATATATATAAAACATGAATAATTGTTTAATAAAAGTAATAACTGTGATACATTGAAATTTAATATAATATGTTTGATATACTGGTATATAATTCTTTAAAATATATTCATGCATTCAATGTATTTCATGTTTTCATAAATGTCAAGTTTAAAGTATGGGTACGTAAGTATGTAAGTATACATTATAGATTAARTAATTATCTTTGACTTATGATAAAAATTAAATCATTCTACCTATGTATGTTTAAAAATCATATCGATTATAGGTATAGGTACCTAATCAAAAATTTAATCGCAAGTAGGTATCATATGTAGCATGGGCAGTTGTAAACTCAGCCAGGATATTTCAGGTAATAACTAATAAAAAATGGTCGATTGCAAACTCGCCCTGACAAAAAATAATATAGTCGACACAACTTAATCTGAAAATATAAATAGTACATATTTGAATTAAACTTTCCCAAATATAGGTATATTCTGTCATAACCAAATTAAAAGTAATAGATACAAACCAAAACCTATATTAAAATAAACAGTTTAATTGAACCATTTAAATAATGGATAATGCCTAATGGTGTTTTAAGAGGTAATTACTATAATTAATATAATATAATATCTATATCAGAGCATTTTTTTTTTTAATCAAGCCAAGTTTACTTACCAATAATTTTTAACTGAAAATAATGGGAACTGAGTTTACGACAGACCTTTTGAACATTTATTGCTCGGTCTAAGTTTACAATCTCTAATCTAGTATGGTCTATGTTAAACTATTTTTTTTAAATATGTACCTATAATTTAGTTGTTATGAGTTATGACTTAGGTATTAGTAAATGTCATATGATATAGTAGTTTTGGTTACGACTCATAAAGTCATAAGTTATAACTTATTTATTATTAGTTATTACTTACTTTGGGTTATAAGTTAATATATTACCGTACGTCCGTACGTCTATAYAAAATAAACACGTTGCACAGTACTGTTCCTCTTTATTTAATATTTAACACTAAACAAACGAAATTCACTACGTTAATTAAGGTTGAGTTCAATATAGTTTTGCTGTTATTTTCATAATTAAAATCTATGAAAAGTGTACACTGAGAAATAAGAAACAATCAAAATTTGTGAATCAAAAATTAATTGCCATGTAATGTTTGTTTGAAAAAAAAAATAGTTATTGTCAGTTATTGATATTTACCAATTAATATTATTTAATTAATCTATCTCAGTAGTATTCTATTTTAGAGTGTACCTAGTACCAAGTATTGCAAAATATTTAATATTTAAGATTATACTTTTGATATACCAAGTTTTGAAAATTGAAACCACTAATTAAACAGTRTATAATATGTGTTATAAAGTTCGAATGTTATTCGACTGCCCCCCTCCACCAACCAGCATTGTGAATTACCTTGATAATATCTACTTAATWTTTATATTATTTAGATAAACACAGTAGGTAAAAGTTATCTTAAATGAAAAAACCCGTATCTAGATAAATTTTGTCAAAGAAGCAATAATTTATTTACCAAAAAGCAATACTTTGAATATTATCATAAAATTATTGAAAATAATAAAACTATTCTGGTAATCTGGTAAAAGTGTCCCCCCAACCATCCCACCAGAAAATATTTTATTGAAAATGTGGAAATGCAAAGAGTTAAAAATAGAAATATAACTGATTATGTGCATTTAATATTTACTATACATTGAATAAAGTGGGGTCATTTCAATTTTTTTAATACGCATATGTTGATGTAGGCCACAAAGACACAAACCCTATTTAGAATTTAACCATTTTTCGGGCCAAATAATTTATAAGAAATGGGCCAAATCACAATTAATAAAAATATCAAATTTTAAATAAGAAAATGTATAAGWATACCTTGCGCTGTTCAAATAACAACAACTAAGTGGTATTTTTAAGGTCTGGGCTCTTGGCCCAAATGTGACTTACTGGTA